AGAGCCATGGCGAAAGTCTATTAAATAAAATAATGATAATAATACCAACAAAAACCAATTATTCAAGCTTCGCGAGTAGTTCGACTAAGGACAAGTATTTCAAGCTCTTAGTCATCAAAACAGCTAAATATCAGTTAACAGATAGACAAATAAAAAGAAAAACTGGTTGCTATGTAAGTTGAATATGGTTGCAAAAATCAAAAGTGAAAATGAAATAAAACACTAGTTCCATTGGAGTTGTGCGTAAACAACAAAGTGATATGAGAAAAAGACGAAATAGTTTAATGCTAAGGGGTTTGTATGAATTACTGACAACTGAAGACGAATTATGATTAGTACCACTTCAAAATAAAGAATTATAAATAAATAATTCATAACTCACTTTTTCAATGTGATCTCTTAGATCAAAAGCACAAGAGAACATTTGATTACAAACGGAACATTGTGTAGTATCTGCAGTGTCTAGGCAAGCTTGTGAAGCCTCATCAACATGACCAAGAATATGAGACATTAATTTCGTATTTGAGTAGAAAATCCGTTGACAAACCGCACATTTAAATCTGAAATCACCTTTTTCTTCCACATAATCAGCATTTCCATCTTGGCGCCCAAAATAATACTCGTCGATTGGAATGTACTTAACTAAATGATTTTAAATAGGATTGAATGATAAAATAGATAATAAATAATATTGTGAGGCTTACGAACTCCGGATGAGCTAAGTTAGGAATAAAACAGTTCTAGGAAATAACCGCAGGATAGTTATTTTATCGAGTTCAGTGTTAACGGAATTTTATGAATTATGTTTTTAATAAGGCTACTGAGCAAATGAAGTTACTTACGCCATGGTGTGATTGAAAGTTAAGAACAGAAAACTCTTATACAACATGGTTACGTGTTCGTTCGGACAAGTATTTTGAAAAAAAAACATAAATTGGCATTATTGGGAACTATAGACAGAAATCCTAAGGATTTCCAATGTATAGAACCTATAAATTATCAACAGGGTATTGAAAACCTAATCAGTATGTTTCTTACCGCGTATCGTATTTTAGGGGTGTTTAAAAGGTATCTAGATGAAGATCACACACTTCTTAGACAGTTTTTCGTTTACTTTTCCTAATAAATGATGGTTATGATATACAAGGAAGGCCTTGGTAACTTTAAACTGAACCACACTGACCTTTACTATTAGCTAACTAGTTAGTTTTGCTTTGAGTTTATGATTTTCCTGTGTTCTAAAGTCATAGATATTGTTGTACGTAGGTTGTTATATGACATCTTGAATTCCGTAGAATAGCAAGCTTTCAGACCGAACCACGACATATCTTGCAATCCTTAATAATTAGCAATAATCTTACGAAGAACCCTATTTGATGTCATTTTTACCGACAATCACGTTTTCTGAATTGATAAAACTATGTGGAGGAGCACTGAACTGTCAGTAAATTCAAACAAATGAATGTATATTATATACATAGGGCATAGAATTCAGTTTTCTTCTTTTTGATTTTATGAATTTGCAAAATCGTTAGAAATAGTATGTAGACAATTTGGGGTCAACAATGGATTTCTAAGAACAAATTAATGAAATTATCAATCTTACTCACCTCCTTTACCATCTTTACATGGCTTTTTAACTGATAAACCCTTAAGTGATTGAACTATTTCAATACTTCCTTCTGGACCAGAATTTATGATATTGACTTCTGGTTCTGGAGCATCTTCATCTACATCTGCAGCATTACGAAAAACAATAGTAGGCGGTAAGAAAGTTCGTAGTGGCCGGACAGAACCGTGGAGTTTTGCTCGTTCACCTTCAACAAAGCATTCTGAAATATGAACTGCGGGCCAGTCAGAACGAATAGGTTTTTCAGAATCTAAAAACTCATCAGGAATAGGAACATGAGCCTTAACTATGGCTACTTCACCCTCTGAAACATGAAAATTAATGTAACATAGAAGTCTACCTTCAGAAATAGGAAATTCCCAATTATTTTGCTGCAGCGTATTATACACAGATATCGCCCCGGCATGTTGAAGTGCGTTTAAGGACTCTCCAGTTAGTAAACCATGCTCTCCTATTGTGACAGCCTCTTCTGTCACGCATACATTGCTACAAAGCGCAAGGCGACTGACTGCATCCAAAAATGTGCGGTATTCTCTAAGAGAAATAGTAGAAATGAATTTATGAGTCCATTTATCATACTGGACGAATAGCAACTACGAACAAAGTTTCATTACGCTAAAACATTCAGTTCCCCAATAAACATGTTAGTACATATGCTTATTGAATGAGAAAACTTATAGTTCTACTTTTTAGGACACTGTACCTGAACTTAAACTTATAACCTGGTATTAAAATACGTTGGGGACTGCTATGTCATCCAGTGATAGGACAGTTAAGATGGGCGTCTTGATAAGGATAGTCGTTATATAGGCCAGCGATACTGTCATAATATGTTATTTACGGGCGAGTCCGATAGTAGGCTTACTATAACTGTTTTTGTTATAGAGAGAGAAGTATCTAATGGCAATGTTAATATTGTTAACAATAACACTCTTCTCTTTGAGCCCCAGCTTCAATGTACATTCACCATTCGGAAACGTTATACATCGGTCTAGGCGCTGACCAACTACAAAACATCCATAACAACCTGCTTTCTCATTGTGATCAACTAAACCTAATGTCCAAACGAGCAAGTGCGTCACAGATTACAGCAACTAGTTTAATAGCCATGTATTTATTGAACCCAACACGATGCAACCCTGGGTCACCTATCTCGCTTAATTCAGAGATGGTTTCTGCAGATATTTCATTAAATTCCACCGGTTTAGTATTCTCTCTATAGATACCTATCATAAACACGTTACTAAACCTAGGGGCAATCATGTGTCATAATATAGGCCATGACTGTTGACTAGAGCTCCTTGAAAAAGAAAGTCTGTATACGCAGATATGCAAGTTCAACGTATCAAAATCACAGCTACACAACCAAAGTTCTACATATCTAAGCAGGTTGGTTCTCAATTCTAGATGATAGTAAACATGATTGCTGATGAACTTAGGTTGGACGCTTGTGATCTTTCGTAGGAAACTTCTGTTCCTTGGTTGTAGAAAGAAAACAGGTAATGTGAGTACTAACTTAAGATGATAACCTTTCTCTGCTGTTATGTAGGTGAAGTGTTTAGTATTAAAAACATTAACGTAAGTCGCACATTATGTCGGCAGTTGAAAACTGTTGTCAGTTTGTTTGTTAAATTTCAGAACACAGAGGAGGGATGCTTATATTCGGAGTTGTAACAATGCAGTTTGAGAAGGGTGTTGTTTTAGAAATTTGTTTTAATGTTAGATCTGATTTCCTTTTAAAGTCTTCTCTTACCGTGGATTACTTTTTCATTTGTATGTAATATGCTGAAACTGACAAAGTATATGTTATGTTTTATTTCATATGCACCAAGCAAATAGGACACATTTTGAATGAACAAAACACTGACTGTAATTTCTTCTGCAGATCTTTGTAAATGACAGTGGAACTTTGCACTAACAACAGAAATATGTAACGAGCATCTGTCTTTTATTAATCTAGTAAACTAGGTATGGCAACCTGGACCGATGCACATATGTGCCTGGTCCTACGTTGTAGCTGACTGACTGACTGAATCTAGTAAACTATGTCATTATTTCCTATCAAATAATGTCTTGAACAATGTATCTTTTTTCGATCAAGTCAGAGTATGCCTCAGGGTATTCTGTATTAGAAGTGAAAGCGAACATACGAAACATTTGTGGCTAAGCGAAAAGCCAAGAACGAACAAAATACCCGTGGCATACAGGTTTTCACACCGAGTCATCAATACTTGGAACCTGCTGCCTGAAGCAGTGGTATTCGCACCTTCAATTGACTCTTTCAAGAGAAGACTGGACACTCACAGAAGCATACTAGGAAAGGAATAACATAGACCGTAGGCCTTCTGTCTTTACTACACAAGTCTAAGCGAAAGGTAGACAATTACGCCTACATTTGTGCGAGATGTTTTGATGATATTTCGAAGGTAAAGCGACCAAAAGTGAAGTCAAGGGAAGCTTCTCGTCAGGTATTCCGTTTTCTTAAATTCCCGATGAGACCTCTCCACCCCCCCTTGCTCGGTAATATTTCTCACTGTCTCGGTAACTTGGGGGGTCAGTTTATTAACAGAAAACTGTGACACATTACATGAAACAATAAATAATGAATGATAAATATAAGCACTAAGCCCCTTATTAATGAAGCGGACAAAAGTAAACAACCTCGATAAAGAAACAATTGTTACAAGATTGGTATGGATTTTTAAATATAATTAGACCGTAACTTCAAGACATAACTTACTGTAGGCGTGTTTGATAAGCCTTTATTTGTGCATCTGATAAAGATTCATCATCACAAATGAGTGATAATGTAGCAAGACATCTCTTACGATGATCTGTTCTGTACGGCAGAGGAGCAAAAGGCTGCGACATTATGACCTTGAGACTAATGTATATATCTAAACAAACCCATGATATAATATCGCATGAAAATTCTCAGCCCTTAATTAATTTTTAGTGGTAGATATGGAAAGTTTTATGGAGTGCATATATCCTTTGAAGTTATAAAATTACTAATATTCATTTCTGAATTTTCACTATGACTTGAAAAAAACAGTTTAGAGACAAAGACAAAATGGCAGTCAGTCCCTTTGGTTATTTTTGTGTTCCACATGAGGAATGGATAATTGGTAATATTTAAGCATCGACAAACGGTGGTGATACTACGTGTTCATGACTTCATCAGTACCAGTATTTGAAAATGAGTTACGAGACTTAAATGAAAATAATTTTCGTTTCTGAACTTTCTGTTACTTTCCCTTCTTTCGCTTAGTCTTAAAAGGAGAAATTGGTGATAAATTATTCAGAACAACCGCTATTTGAAAATCATCGTATCGCCGTAATTGTACAAACGTTCTTTACATCAAAATCCGCTCGATTTTCGAACTGGGTCCGTTACCTTTTCTGAAATGGTCCAAGAACTAAGTCTTGTTTCAGACCCTATTGTATTGCATATTTGGTCGTGCCTTCACAATTATGCCTACAATGATGCTTTATTTGCAGCTGAAAGATTATATGCTGAAACACACAATAGCGAAAGCCTTTATATACTCGCAACCAGTTTGTATCGAATCGGCAGGCCGAGACAAGTTAATAAACTACTCAACTCTGTCAATTCGTTATCTCCTAAGAGTCGGTTAGTTTCTTAAAAATGGATTTACATTCGCTTATTAGATACTTGCTTGCAAAATGCTACTATGACATTGGTTCACTAACGGAGGCTGAAGATGCTATACTGTTTTCTGGTCTTTCTTCTTCGTCCCTAGACGAGATAACCAGTACTTATGAAGAACAATCTTGCTACGTTTTGCTACTTCTAGGGGATATTTGCAAACATCAAGGAAGACTTAGTGATGCTATTATTTACTACAAAAAATGTCTCGAAATGAATCCTCTTATGTGGTCTGCATTTAAAAACCTCTGTAATATCGGTGAATATGTTGAGCCTTCCTCTGTTTTCCAGAATCCTAGCGGGCTTAAACTTACAACACCTGTGTATGCCGTTATGCTCGACGATCTACACAGTAATCCGTATGAAAGTGCTTCACGAGAAAATGTCAACCCTCAAAACTGTGAGTCTTTTACCACTCAGGCTTTAATGTCGTCAAAAGATTGTGAAAGTAGTGATCAGGAAACATTTGTTGATACAGATTGTCTGTACACCAATCAACGTCATTTTGTCTCGTTTTGCTCTAGAAGCTTTATTGGTGATTTGGTACCTTCTCTCAAACCTGTAGACGTTCATACCCCAGACAAGGTTATGCCTTCTGCTTTGTCTCCGAAAGCTCCAAAACCTGTTAACCGAGTTGCACGCAAATTGGCACAAAATGTAAACTCGCAGTCCATGAAACCAAATGTACCTCGTTTTGGTTTACTTTCTTTTTTTCCTCAAAGTCCCATGTTCGCTTGTGTTCCCGTAAGTTCATGCTCTTTCTTAGTGTGTCATCAGTGTCCCTCATATTGCTTTTTAAGCTCATTTTCGAAACCAGTATCTATCTATTTTTCTTAAACTTTATTAAGTTCTCTATATTTATTACTCAATGTGAAGAATTAGTGTAAAATTGTTGTGAGCAACATGTATCAAGATATCTCTAGTCGCTTAAACATAATAATCCTATCAGAAGAGTGGTTGGTTGTTTGTATTTTGGGGACAGTTGAGGGACTTGTGACAACAATGAAGACTGTTATGTTGAGTTGCTGTCAAGCGACTCGATCTATAGTTATACATAGCTAATATAATATAAAGGCATATGTTTCTTAATCCATTGTATGGAGACTATAGTTTAGGAAGCGATGTGTAACGTAGTGATAAAGGAAGACATAAGACAGTTCACAACGGAAGAATTCGGAAAACTGGCAAATGCGATGGCAACTTGTCCCATCTGTTTATTCTCTGTTCCTAGAGGAGATGCGTATTTGGAATGGATAGATATTGATATAACCTAAAGGTATTTACCGATCGGTTTATGGCTACTTCAGTTGGTAATATTCCAGAGCACACAAAACCATGATGCGAGATAATGAAATTGCTTAGCTTTTGGAATCTCCTCGATGTATGTAGGATTCATTTGTTTGGATTCCCGAAGTTACTCGGTATACTGTTTACTGTTGTATGGTGGATTGACAGATAGGTCGTCAACCGCCCTTCATTAGCTCGATGACTAGATTTCTGCCTTGGGCTTCTCGTTGCCTCACAGATACCACCTAGAATAGTGATTGTTCTCACTAGTTTCTGATAATTGTCATTGGACAAGAAGTCCCACTCGAAGAGCGATAATTTGTAAGATACTACCTTTATAACCAGCCGCTATCTTTAAAACCATTTTAACTGAATATCATCATGTTTGAAGTATTCGTCTCTGAAGTTTCTACTTGACCACCATATCCATGTCATCCTAACCTACAAATTGTGAAATGATTGTTCAGGAATCACATCGTTTCTTGTATGATTTCATAGTTCATTTCGCTATCATACTTTAGGTATTTTCAAAAATTTCTGAGAATCAAACTACATCTCCGGAATCAATCCTCTCGAAAGCTATGCAGTTGCCTTCAAGTCAGTGCTTACCAGAGTTACAGTTTACTCTTAACTCATTAAATAATAGCCAAAATGATATAACCTGTTTCCAAATCCCTCGTCAGCGAAATGATACTTCATGCAACAACAACACAACTATGGGGACTAAAAGGGCCCCTCATATTGATGAATCGAATGGAGACAGAAATGCTGCATATAACGTCAAAATTAATACATCTGTTACCTCTTCAGAGAAATCTAATGCTCTCTCCGATACACCGACCAGTGCTCTACGTCATCTTGTCTCCACTGCAGCATCTAATCTTGGTTTTCTAACGCTTGAGCCAAATGTTACTTCAACTACCACCTCTCTTGTCAGCACACCAAGTGCCCGTCTTGAGCCACCTCTTTTACGTAGTACTTCTCAACGCAATTTGTATCCTACGCCCAGCGCCCGCCACAACCGCGATTCTCTCTCAGTATTGAGATCAAATTTGCAGTTTTTCAATCCTGCTTCTCAAAGTCCTGGCATGTTGACTTCTTCTTCAACACCAAGACCACTTTCGAGTCAACAAACATCTACGGGGTGTCGAGCTGTCGAGAACACCACTTCTGTAGACATTTCTACAGGTGGACCTCGGACAAGATCTCAGGTTGCAGCAGCTGCAGCTGTAGCCAGAGCTTCTGGGATTCAGAGAAAGTCAAATAGATTTTTAAGAAGCCGAGGTCAGAACCGCAAGTTTGATTCTAAATTACTACTATCGGACTCGACGGGAAACTCTGCAAACATGCAACCTAAAATAACCAGTTCAGGTGTATATCCTGACCCCAGTTCCTTTAAAAGTATACATACTTCTACAAATGAAGATGCACCAGATTTCGGATGCAGCAATCATTATAATGCACCCTTGTCAATCGATGCCCCACCTATAACAGATGACCCGAGAATGCTCTCACTACAACAGTATTTAAACTTGTTAAGTCAACTTGGCAAAGCTTATCAGATGTTGGTGCGACATCAGTGGCGTTCAGCTACCCGTCTACTTTTAAAACTTCCAAGCTCTCAACTTCATACTGGTCGTGTTTTGGCGTGGGCAGCTCGTGCTCATATGGATAATTCAGATTATCAAACAGCTCATAAGTTGTTCAATGAAGCTCGTCGTATGGAACCATGGCAGCTATCTGGAATGGACTTCTACTCGACAGTATTATGGCAAGTCCAAGCTGATCAGGAATTATCACAATTAGCTCATGATTTATTAGAACTTGATCGTAATGCTCCTGAACCTTGGTGTGTAGCAGGTAATTGTTTCTCTTTGCAAGGTGAACATGAAGCGGCTATTAAATTCTTCCGTCGTGCTCTTCAGGTAAATAGTTTTTTTCGACTCAGTGTACAATACTACTTTATCATTTCCCTCTATGCCTTTCCCGCATAGCTTATAAAAATAGCCAGTAACTTCATGTTGTACTACATTTCTTTTGTATTTTGTATTTTTTTCTGTTTCAGTGGATGAAAACAATAAATAGCTATAACTTAAAAGTAATGAGTTTCCCGTCACATTTTAGGTGACTGTGGTCTTCATCATTGTGAGCCATTAGTATCTTTTGAGCATTCTCAAGACCACAACTCAATTCATATCTTTCGTGTATTTTTACTGATTTTATTCATTGGGTTTGTTTCTGATTACATGAAAACGTTACAGTTATGGTATTAAACATACAGAGCTAAACAGTGAAAACTGGAAAGGCTTCTTTTCAAACAACCTGTATACATGAATTTGGGAAAATGAAATTTATGTTGTGAGGATAATATTTCATATACTACATACAGCGATTCCTTGACATTATATCTGTTTCGGTTTAAGAACATAAGTTGTATTGTAACTATACTGGTTAGTCCTCAAGAAATCTATTCCCTCTTAATTAATGAAATCAAGCAGTTAAATCACATTAAGTAAGCATTTCTAGATTTACCTTTTATATTATCAATCTTTACCGGGTTACTTACAGGCTCGTCAGTTTAATTAATTCTTTTTACTGATGTTCGGGACTTTAAATGATTTTCCTGTCGTTTATGCTTTCGTTTTCTAGGTTTCACCTACAAGTGCTTATGCTTGGACACTTTTGGGTCATGAACAGTCAACTCTAGAAGAGTTTGATCGAGCACTAGCAGCTTTCCAGTTCGCCTTAAGAATTGATCCAAGACATTATAATGCTTTGTTTGGCATCAGTAATGTTTATTACAAACAAGAAAAGTTCGATCTTGCCGAAAATTACTTGGTTCGCGCAGTTGCACTTTTCCCTCAGTCACATTTACTTTTGACTCATCTTGCAGCTTTACGCAGTCGACTAGGTAGACTTGATGATGGGTATGGAAGTGCAATGGATTTGATTAGTCGTGCTTGTAAAATTCAACCCAACAATCCACTAGCTCGGTACCACAAAGCATCTATTTTATATCATCTTGGACGTTATTCTGTAAGTCTTAATAAATATAGGTAATGAATAGGTTGTATTCCTTTAAGTAGTTGAATTAGTCTATTGCCAATTCGTTTTTTTTCATGATTCACTCGTACTGGCTTTATCAATGGATTTCAGACTCATTTGTCAATATAAGTCAGTAAAAAAAAATTTAGTCAATTAAATTAACACGCTAGTTACTTGAATATGTGCGACAATCTTTGAAGATCAAATTTACTTTATTTTCATATCTGACTTGTTGAATAAAATACCGATCCTATCAACAGTTCCTTGTGCCTGTATATCATTAATATCTTTCAAATATGCGAACATGAATTTATTGGCTTATTTGATTTCTGGGTTTGCTTTGATTTACCTACACATTATTCTAAGTGAATACATTAATTAGTCATTTGGGGGAAAAGTATGTTAAAACAATATCTTCAGGCTTAAAAACAATTGTGAGAGTGGTTTTACATATGAAATTCTCATTATTCGCTAATTCTCGACTTTTTGGTGTTTATCTTCAATCATGAACTGTTAGATAATTATATCTTAATTACCACTATATAGAGCTAATCCGTGTCGGGTAGAGACAGGTATCTACCGCACTACAATGGAAGATGGTCACGCAATTTTGTGGATTGCTTGAGGTTAGACATTAAAACCGTTGGGTGCCGGCCCAGTGATCTAGTAGGTTAGGCGTTCGCACGCGAGACTGAAGGCCCTGGGTTCGAATTCCGCGAGCGGGATCGTGGATGCGTACTGCTGAGGAGTCCCACAATGGGATGAAACGGCCGTCCAGTGCTTCCAGGTTTTCAATGTTGGTTTAACGTCAATCGGTTCAAGATCTCAAGCAATAACTATGGTATAATTTCTCGTTATCGTGGTTCAAATATATCTCCGACATTTTGGTTTCTTATTGTCCCTCTACATTGTTTTAGGACACATAATTTAAAAAAACTATTTTACCAGAAACTTTCTTTTCTGGTCGATTTTAGACAAAACCGAGTGGATCATATATTTATATATTTGCAATGATATGATAACAGTGTAGGCTGTAGTCACTGAAAATTAAAATTACTTGTAGAACTCAACGTAATAAAATGACGATTGCATCTGTTAACGGTAAGCATCACTCTGGAACTTTTACATACATTTGATTGTCCGATTCATCTATCCAAATCTTTATCATATCTTCTGGTTTATGCAGTATCTTGTTTCTTACTTCTTTAATGGTATGATGATGTCATATCTATGATATTAATGGAGATGGACCCAAAGGAGAATAATTCTACATTTCAATATGTTATTCCATATAATGTTTCATTAAGTGAGGCTTTTTTGTGTCCTAAATTTTATCCGATTAAAATTTTAAAGTACTTTACATTGTTTGTTGTCCTCCTGATTAGGAAGTATTATCGGAGCTTCAAAAACTTTTGGTTTTAACTCCACGTGAGGCTATGGTTTACTTGATGATTGGACACACCTACAAAAAACTGGGAAATACACCACAAGCAATGATTCATTACTCATGGGCTATGGAGCTTGATCCTAAGGGTGCTAACAGTCACCTGAGAGATATAATGACCAACCCACCAATTTCAAGTCGCGGGATGAATCGACAAGACACTTCCGAGTCAGGGGGTTGCGTGGGGGGCCAAAACACCGGCAACTCGGCCAGACCACATTTCAGCTCATTTCAACTTGGTGTTTGTGCTAACTTCGAAGAAGAGGATGGTAATGAGATCAGTGACCGAGCTTCAGGAGCAGATGAAGAAATGGTAAACAGTTTGCTTCATCCATCACAAAGTGTGACTCGTTCAAACTTAGTTCGCCGACTGACTGATTTCTCGTTACTGTATGAAATGGAAGGATATGAACAGGACCCTGTAATATCTGATGCAGATGAGGAGCACTACGATACGATGGATTTGAGTGGTGGAGTTGATAGTAGAACTGAGCGCAGCGTACCAGACGACTGAAGCAACTACCTTCGTCTTCTCTTATGTGATATTGATGAAACACCACTTTTTATTTCCATCCCTTAATTTTGGTCAGTCTTATTTACTTTCATATAAAACATATACAGGTTTCGACTCAAAGCCCAACGTGTATAAAGTTTTATTGCACATGTGTTATATCGAATTTTCATATAAATATATGATCATTACGAAACTAAAAGCAGTTGTACATATGCCTTTTATTTTAATTTGGTAAGAAATATTCAGCTACAGTCCTTACACTATATATAAGTAATACCTATTTTGAAATTCCATCATTTACCTATTTGTTTTCAGATACAATCATTTCATCAGTAGTGTGTGCTCATATCTATGTAGATGTTTTATGAATCTATACCGGCTAAAACAGTCAAGTTAAGCTTTTCCAGTGCTCAGCTTCATCGCACTACCTACATACACAGGTCATTATAAAACTGTGGGTAATGTTTATATTCTATAGAACACTAGTTCTTGCTAGAGTATAATGTCGCTCAGTTATAGATGATGTAATCCATCACATAAGCACAGGAAACCAGCAAGTTAAGCGGAAAAAATGAATGAAAGTAGCCTGTCGGATCATATTATTAACTTGGTCATCTATAACATGGACAGACTTGATCTACCCATTTAGATTTAGATGTCCTATCGGATTTTCATCAATACGAAGGTACCTTTCTAAAGGTAGTTTTCATATGCAGGAGAGAAGTACGTCAAACTCAAATAAGTAAGAGCACCAACCAACTAGTTAATAGTAACTTGAAATGTGAAATTCTCATGGACGTTACTGACAGCTAGGCGATTCTTGTCATAAGGCGGACATTTTTGTTTCAGGAATTTAGTTTGAGCCTATGATTATCTTCGTTTATATCATATGACCAACCACCTGGACTTAACATCGTTGATAAGAGATAATGCATTTTTCCTCCGCGTATCGGTCTCAATGTAACTAAGTATTAGAGCATTATGCTTTTAGTATGTCGCTAAGCCTAATACACTAGTTTACAGTTTAAGATAAGCATACAGATGATTTGTTTCGTGAGTGAAAAATGGATGTAGTCTGTCATCTTACAGCTTTTATTTACGATTCTGGGTTTCGTAGAAGCTTAGTTTTGATTCAGGAACACTTTACAGAAGAAGCTTTAGTGCCGTAGAATAGAAAATAAATTTGAGCTATACTTTACTACCACTAGTCTATCGGTCACAGATATACATAAAATTCATTATGAGAAATACCGTATTTAATATGAATTCTACAAAGCCTGGTACTGTCTCGTATTCTAAAATAAAAGACTTCGAAATTTGCAGCTTAAGAGAGTACTTAGGTGGTATCGTAGATCCGTCGAATTAACCTGTCGCGGTAAACCAACTGAAAAGGTTTTGTTGAGTATTCGGCACATTTCGTATCAAATGCTTTTTTAGATAGCCTGAGGACCTTACATTCATTTGTTTCTACTAAAGAACAAGTGTATCCTTCCCGTTTTATCATCCTTGTTTCTCTTCCGAGTACAACGTTTGGAAGAATTTTCTGTCAGAATCATCCGACTTTGTTTTTTAGAGTCTTCAAACTGTGTGACTAAAAGCAGGAAATTCCAGATCAAGAAGCAAAATCGTACTATTAACTATACTAAACTGTTGTGGTAAACTGTCACTGTCTATGGTTAAGTTCCAAAAGTACGTCTGGAACAATTTTTCCGGTCTTTGTCTACATTTCCAGGTTAGCGAAACTATCGAAACCGGTTTTCTTCGGGTCATCTAGGAAAATATATCTCAAGTTGGTTAGTCAGTAATTACTCACCACTAACGTATTCAAGATTCCATAGTAATTTTCCAGTTACTACCAAACACTAGTTTGTTTTTTGGGTAAGTCCAAGATTCTCCAATTCTTTGATGTCACCTCACTAGTAAATATTCTGAGTAATCGTATACGTTTCGTAATAACATCGAATTGGAGTCTAGGTAAATCTCTAACCAATAGAACCAAAATTTGGTCTTCGAAATCTATGTGTTTCACAACAGGATGTGACAAGGTTCAGGGATAGAGAATACATACAGTCAAGATGAGAGAAAATAAAGTACGCGTATCAAGCAGTGTTGGGAGCTACGTCAGAATGAATAACTATGAGTAACATTTATGCTTATAGGAAGATAATAATTTTCACAGATTGTTAGTTAAGTAAAAACAGCTCGTAACAATATCAGACTGAATCAAGGTGGTAGGCATTTCAAGATCAAGTTAGTTGGTAGCCTTTTTATGTTAGCAACTTACATGTATATTTGTTTACTAAGATTCCTTACTTAAATGTTCTCAATCTCTGATCTGACTGTCTCAAATACCATCTTGATAGTGGAATTACATAGTATGTTCGACCAGTAAGTATTATTTGATAAGAGTATATCGTTTTCAAGGTCATTTCTGATTTAGGAACTTCTTTTAAAGCACTCAGGAACCTATGGCTATCTCTTAGCAAAACATCAATATTTGTCTTTACTTTGGATACGAATCTAAGCAAGACACGTAATTATAAACTGTCCTACCAACTATATACGCACCACTACTCTATGTAACTTAAAAAATCTAAAATTCACTTGAAAATTATATTTGTCGTTAAAGATTAGGAACTCAACTCCAGTTCTTTCCACATTTTTGTGGCTATTTTTCGCCTTGTCTTGATTTCAAGAAAGTATTCCAGATTTCTTGGATAGACACTCCCCCGATATAACTTTTCTGTCCATATACTAGAGTGTAGGAAACGTGAAACCAATTGAAAAACAACTAGATGTAACTTGCCAACTGTCGTTTATTTGTCTAAAATGTAATAATGGAATCAAACGCGAAATAGTCTGTCAGTAAGTTTATCTCCAAAATAGGACGAAACATTACAATAGATTAGAACTAAAAGGGATGTTCTAAGTGTAAATATTCCTCTAAAAGAATTTTCTTTGGTACTAGCTGCTTCTTCACACTGCAAAGTTGTAGATATTATTCGTTCTGCACTTCAAAGACTTAGGTCTTGAATTACTTTATTTCCCGAGTAGAGATCTCCAGGGCTGCTGAGACTATCGTTGCTCCAACAGAAACTGGTTTAAGTCTATTATTGCCTTTTAATATTCTTTTTAGCCTTATTTACTGAAATTACCAGAATGAAACGAGTCAAACAAATAATAGTGATGAGACGCGTGCATTTACCAAACAAACAGGGTTTCTGAATCACTTCGAACCGATAATTTTGACCAAAGTTGTTATTCATGTGAAATATATGCAAGATCAGTAATCATCAGTGACACAGTCCTACAGTAAAGCTTTATTATTGGTATACATTTTACGACGCATACAAGTTGAACAAACGTTGGGTTGTTATTATTTAGGTCTTATGATCGCACGAACGGCTTAGTTTTATCATTCATTACATTTTATGTCACCCATTGTAGAGATGGACAATTTGGACCTATTTTTTAAGTAATTTTTTCGATATTCATATCACTCATAACCTCACTTAATTTGTACAATTCTTGTTTTCGACTGTAAAATGTTATTTAAGTTGTCATGTTAATTTACTCGTTCAAATACACATGTTACGCTAGTTACTAGTGAAAAAATACAGGCTTCTTTACTTACACATTGTTATATATTACGGTATTGTTACACAACCATGTTGCTAATCTACTTGCTATACATTTTTACCTGGTGTTCCAATCATCTTTCTGGTTAATTCTCCTTCATACTGTTCCGGTGTATTTACTAGTTCAGATACAACACTCATATGTATGAGATGTCTTGATTTTGGAGTTATTTTTAACTTTGTGACCATCCAACCTGCAGGAAAAACCGTATAATTCTTTATACTATTAACCCAATTTAGACTGTATTCTGCGTAAATATTATCGAAAGGGTTAAAACTCCTATGTTGTTTATGATTCCGAATACAACAAGCCCACATCATCAGTGTATTCAGATTGTGACTATTCGAAAATATATTTTATAAATGTCTCCAGTAGTTCGTATGCGCCACTTATCTTCTACTAGTTCAGCTGCTACACACAGTCTCCCGACTATGAGGAAACTGGCGTCTCCTAAATCCCTGAAAATTGTGGGAAAAACAAAAAACCCGGGTAACGCAGTTTGATGAAAACGGATTTCCTACGTAAGGGACTATTTGAACCTTTTAAGGCAAAATTACAATCATTGGCATTGTTTATACCTTAACATGAAAATATATATAGCTCTCCGCAGAGGCGACCTTAGCTTTTGTGTTGACACCAGAATTGGCTGTTACTCGTGCTCTACTCAGATCTAAAAGTAGACTGAGTCTAAGCAATTACAGGTAATACAGAACAGTTTGTCGTAAGTCAAGGTTTTCCCCTTTTCATGATTGTCATTACACAAGGAATTCGTTTGTTGACTCATATTAACAAAACCGCAGTGATATTATTCTGATATTTACTTTATAGAAAAATGACGCTTTATTTTTTACTTGTAGGACATAGTTGACAAAATTTTAACGGAAACAACAGCTATATACAAATGGCAAAAGGTACGAGGAAGTAAAGTGCTCTTGTAGAATGCAAATGTCATTCTTTGAATTCGGCCTACTATAGTATTCTAATTGTCGTATGAATTAGGAATTCCAGGATTAACGCAATTGAATTAAGAAGACACAGGCACAACGAATGTACTGTATTTAGAATTCGAAATCAAACATCCAACCAGTACAAAGGTATCATTAGTCCATTCAAACACCACATCCACCACAGCTTAAATAGAAGTATAAGTGTTTGTAATCGGTTGTACGTCTTCTTGTTAAGTTCATCCTGAGTCTGTCCGACATTGTATAAGATATAAACGTTGTAGTATCTAGAAAGTGCTCATTAGTATTGGAATTAACAAACGAAATCGGAACAGACTCACCTGGAATTGTATACAATCAGCATATCGGTTTTGTACTGAAATCATTAATATCTAGAATTTGAACCATAGATTTTTCAACACTATCCCCCCCCCACGAAATAATGTTGGATCTTTAAATCCCCAAGTTATGAATAATTCGGCTTCATTTAAAACACATTGTTTAGAGTAAACATTAGAACTGTTTTTGTGATAAGGGTAAACAGCAGTTGATATGAAATCATCCGAAATGTAATCAAACTCGAGGTCACTTAGTACTCGTGCTTCGCATTGA